ACTAAATATGTTCACGTACCACCCTCTATCTCAAAAATTATTTATGTCCTCAAAAACCACTCTCTTAAATATTGACATGCAATTATAAAACACCAAGTAAGCACTAAACTTTAGAATGTGATTTCTCAATTAATTTTAATGCTGCAAGTGTATAAAAATGGTCGGCAAATGCCATTTGAAGATACAAAAAAAATAGAACTTTAACAAATATCTTTATAACCACCTCGCAGATTTTTTTCAATTTTTTTGCGAAAAAAAAAATGCACCACTGCAAAAGATGTATATTATTCCATATTTTCTTTTTAATTTTTTAGAGAGAGATAAAACAAGACCCGAGACAAAATCTTTAATTTTTGTTTGTTTGAAGTTTGACATCCGGTACTTTTCTGGTCCCATGTTCATATACACTATTTGCAAATTAAGCGTTATTAGTGCTGCAAACATTGGCTGATACAACGTATAAACAAGCAAATAATTGGTTTCCTTGAAGTAAGTTGTATTTAAACGCATCGAAATATTACTTCTTGGACCAGATCCACCTTGGACCAGATCCACATTGTCATGTAAAGAGCAGCTTAATGCATAGGTAGAAAACTTGCGACAAATGCATTCCTTGTAAGAAAATTAGTCAAGGTAGTTGAGCATTTAAGCGAGTACCATCTTCAATGCCTATAACTATCAGAATCGAGTGTTTTGCGCCTGGAAAGCTCAAGATGCGACTTAAAATTACTACAATTCCCTGAAAAACGATCTGATCAAAAGATTAAAAACATATTAATTAAATGAAGATGATATTTTGCAAGACAAATACAAATAGATTTTACTGCAAAAAGGATTTTAAATATTTTTGAGGGTGTGCGTGCACGTAAGTAAAGTTCTATGTAAGTCGAAGTGTAGAGTTTATTAAAATTTTATTACCCTGATTTATTCATTCATTCATTCTTTATTGTAAAATTTAAAGATGTGATATATAGTGCTAAAACAAGAAGCAAACCATTATTCTATTATATTCTATTCGTGGTTAGTGGTAACTATTTTTTGAAGGCAGGGCAAGCCTTGCTGGACGACACTGGACGCTCACACGCATTCCAGCATAAGTAGTCGTCCTCTCTTTACGAAACAGTTCTCGTCTGTCGGCTTCACCGCCTTCGACGGACTTCTTACATCATACTGTCGGAATATGTAGACGATTTTAGCTTTTTCTCTATGAGAGTTTTTATATTGATTTAAAACCCATTTTCGAGAATTTTCCAAAGCATTATCGACATGCAGTTTCTACAAACACTAGTGTCCGTTTTAAATTTGTTTCCATTGGTTTTCCTATTTTTGTTCTTTTAGTTTTATAGTACATTAAAACAAATCCTACCTAGGATGAATTGCCAACATTCTGATTAAATCCATATCTCTGATAAAATAATTATCTGACAATACTAATGCAATGATAAAAACATTTGACAACAACGACAACAACAAAATTAGAACAAAATGTTTAAAAATCGAATGTGATGGAGCTGATCGAGCGATAATTCATCTATAAATTTATGCTTTAATCAAAAAGCACAATAAGATATTAAAAATAACATTTAAAAAAAGGGTCTAAATAATGAGTTTTTTTGTAGATTGAAGAACAATAATTACGTTTCATAATTTCCCTCGAAGAAAGCGATCGAGATAGCTCCCATAGTTATAGCACCAACATTTGACCACGCAAGCTGTAAACACTTGTTTTCGTGTTATTTCGAGCTTAAGCGTGCTTCACATGGGATATTTTTTATTTATACAACAAACAAATTAGAACAAAACGTCATGCATGTTTAAAAATAGAATGATGAGTAGAATGATCGAGCTGTATTGTAAGACATAAAATCAAAATCTTCAATTTTCGGGTTGTCTTTATTGACACCATAGCCAATACATATCTGAACCAAAAAGCAAAAAAGATGTTCAAAATTAGTTTTAATTCTACTCAAAAACTACCCGTAGCTTTGAAAATTTCGATATAGCCTGAAAACAAAAAAACGATAGCGACTTCTACTGTTCGTCTATTGAATTCCTCTCAATAGCTTCTATGAGATTTCCTATAGAAATACCAAAATTTGACCACGCAAACAGTAGTTTTTTCTACGTTACATTCAGAGCTATACAGTGTGTTCACTTAAGTGTACAACATAGGGGATGTTTTTTATTAATAACTTTAAAAATGTTTTAAGATTTTGGACTTTGAATTACAGCTATGATGCCTATTATTAATAACCATTAGTCATGTTTTTCATTGTTAAGCAGAACTGTTTCGAAATGTTAGTTTAATGTAGAATATTAGAACTGAGTTAATTTTTCAGTTAACTTGAATTTGAACAAAATTGGGACAAATTAAGTTGATTTTAAAAAGATGCTTTGGAATTTGGACATAAATTTCAATTCTAGGCAATTTTCATTATTAGCAAGTTGAATTTTTTAAAATTTGACTTGGAATCATAGTGCACATTTAACTTCAATTTTTCAATTAATAAAAATAACTCCCAGCCAAAACTATAGGCTATTTCAGATGCCATACTAATAAATAGGTATGGCTGTCATTTTTGAAGAATATTTTGTGAAATGATAAATACCTTTCGGCTGTGGCAGTTGTGGATAACGCATAGAGAAGATTCCAACCCATCTGAAAAAATACAAGAAATTATCGACTGGTTAATCACCAAAAATATCGAATTTCAATATAATTTGATAAAAAAGAAATTACAAATTTACACAAAATATGCTGTGGAAAACATAGCTAGAAAATATAGTGTAACTGTGCTGCATATAGAACTGACGTGGGCGCAAGTGAAACAATTTTTAGCAAGACACAACGCGATATTCAAAATTATGCACTTAGCTTGGGCCACGTTGACGAAGTAACACCATAGAACTAGCTCATTAAAGAGGAGATGACAGATTCTTAGAGGATGATGTATTATAATTTAGTTTCTGGATAATGCATTTTTTATATAATGATTTAAGAATGAAAAATAAGGGTAAAGTCTGTTCATAGATATACTGATACGAATTAAGGAAAGACCCGCGCAAGCTGTAAGAATGAAATATGGCCGAACAGGTCCGTACTTTGCTTAGAATTTAATTATTTGGGGTTTTGTTAGGAAAGATACTAAACAATATTTATTTATTTATGTATGTACTTATGTTTAAATCTAAAATAAAATTACAAATTATTTTTATTACCTACTTAAATTACTTAAAATTATTCACATAATATATCAGTATCGCAATCGCTATCATCGCCTGTTCTAATTATTATTTGTTCTATATTATTTGCAATATGGATGTACGATTGTTCTGCTTTTTCTATATGTTTAAGGGATGTTAAAAACTTCGGTTTCTATAAGTTTGAGGACATTGGAATTAACACGGGAAAAACATTGTTACGACGAATGGCAGATTTCAGTTGGTGCCAAACATGTTCAATGGGATTAAATATACAGTGGTAAGGTCGAAGCCTTAAAACTGTATGCCCTAGATTTTATGCATAATTATCACAGACATATTCCTTTTGTAGGTTCAAGCTTTGTAGAACCTTTTTGGTACAATCTTCGTGAAAATAAATGTCGTTATTATACATGTAGTTTTGGATTGTTGCTTTTGTGTCACATGAGGAAGGGGTTTTAGTCAACTGTCTACTGTAATAACTTGCATTGTCCATTACAATAACGCTATTAAGAGGAATGTTTGGAACTAGTTTGTTTTTAAACCAACTTTTAAATAAATCAGAGGTGGTGTCTTCATGGTAATCCAGAGAAGAATCTTTAATATTTTTCGCAGACAGAGAAAGTCCATTTGGAATCCAACCATCTTTAGAGCCAGCATGCAAAATAGTTATTCTTTTACGTCTTTTTGATGGCGAGTTTGTTTTACACTTATCAGTTGAGTCAACCCAACCCTTTTCCGGGGTATCAGCAGTATCGAACCAGGTTTCATCCAAGTAAATAATTTTCCTTTGTTGTTCTCTGTAAATCCTTATTTTTTCTAGATATTCCGTTCGCCATTTCCGAATTCTAAATGATTTCATTCTCACTTCTTTTTTTCCTCGCTGAAATGGGATTATTCACAATTTTCCATACAGTTGATGTTGGAATTTTCGTCAATGTGGCCTATTCTTCTAAAGATGCTTGCTTGCTTGCTGGCACCACGTTCAATGAGAGTCAAATAAACATTATTTATAACTTCCTTAGTCTCAATAGAATATTTTGCATAATTCGCACACGATTCAATACCCGCTTTATTACACACGAAATAAGAATGGTTACTAATCAACTTAAACTAAGTAGTATACCAAACCAAAGAATATTAAACACAGGTAGGTATAAAATTATTTTCTATTACAGACCACAATTTTACCTGAATTTAAATTCCCAAACTTTAGGTAATAATCTTGTTGCATCTTATATCTAATCTTATATCTAATGCCTAGCATTGAACCATTGACCACTTCTTAATTCACCGGTCAAAATTTTTTAAATAACATTTTGCAATTGTAGAGTGTTATCTATCATTATTTAATAATAATATGTATTTTATAATAAATTATTATGCGTTTGTGATTTTCGATTATCTATAACCCTCTTTAAGGAATCTCCGATTACTATACTTAGAGATTCGGGGAATCCTAATAATAATATAGACTCCATTTGGTTCCCAGAGCGACACAATGGCGACGTAACGCACAATATAAATAAATAAATATAAATTTCATAGTATTTTAAAAATTATTTCGGTCAATTGGTACAAAAAATTTAACCGGACAATTCCACAACCCTAAGAATGTGTAATTCTTATTCTATTAAAATAAAATTCTCTCCTTTATATTAGTCTTCTAGAGGAATGCCTATGCCAAACCATTTTCGGTGTTGGTGAATGGATAACAGTAGGAACCCCCATAAATTGACCTAAACCCGGGTGATATTATTCGAACTCGATAAAAAAAAAGAATTTTGCAATGAAATGAATGCCAAACAATTTGAATTAGCCTGTAAGTCCTTTGAATAGTTATATCTAGCATTTAATTTTGACACAGTAAAAGAAAAATAAAGCACCACCAATTTTATTTGCTTAACAATTAATAAATCGTGATATTCTATAGAAAGATACCATCGTCACTAGCGAAAACAAATATCGCAAGCCCGATTGAAACATTGCGTCCGAATTGCTCGAGAATAGCGAATCTAGCACCAGCAGCGTATGAATTCCAAACATCAGCCACATCAACTGCGAGCAAGATGCCAAGCTCACTCCGACCGAAATATTTCGATGACGAACGCTTCTTAAAACTTCTTCCGTTTGCCCCTCGCCTTCCGACAGTAGATAAGAGAAAATGCGCGCGTCTGACGACTCCCTCAAATCCATAGTCCTCATCCCCAACGGCGAATTAAAGTACCGTATTTGGGGTCTTTCTCTAGTCGAACGCACGAAATCTCTCAGAGTATTTGTTATTTGGTCGAGCACGTCTTGTATTCCACGAAATTTGTCTTCGTCGTCCGCCTCATTGTCTTCAGCGTTCGTCGGTCCGGTCGCTTCTTCGTCTATTATCAATTCGAAATCATTGTAATCGTCGTCGTCGGGTGCTAATTCTTCCAGAACGTCTAAATTTTCGATGTCTTGCATTCTGGAGCAATGGTTCTTTTTCGGACGATCAATTTCCACCATTTTGCGTTAGAAATTTTTCTAAAATAGATTTTATTAGAAAATAAATAATATTATTCTTTGGAGTTTCTGTTGATTGAAACTCCAAAATAACATAAAAATTACACTTCTACATATCATTATTGATTAATTAAAATTTATATTCGTTCACTAAATTTTAGAGTGGTCACTGGATTACAAACATGAATGGTTTCTAAATGTCCACAAATAATTATTATTTAATTATAATTAATATTTTTTTAATAATTGACTTTTAATTTTCTCTATTGGATTCCACAATAATTTTGGAAATTAGAAACTTGAATCCTATAATAACTCAAATAAAGCGTTCTTTTGTTTAAAATTAATTGCTATTTAATGTAAAAATAATAAATCCTAATTTAGAAATGATTTGATATCAATTATAATGAACATTTATTTTCACAGCTCTATAACTTAAAAGCTGTTGGTCGGGGAGAATATACACATGGGAACTTTTTGTAGCAAATTTTATGCTCTACAAAAGCTATGCACGCGTTTTTCCCAAAAAAAATTTCTTCACGTCCAAAAATCAAGCGAAAACCGAAAAAAAATTTTTTTTGTGTTATTTAAATAGGAAAATGATTTTTTAAATGAGCTAAGCTGCTATTGCATTTAAAGCCTTTTACCCGGCAGCATAATTTTTTATTTTCTATAAAGTATCAGATTTTCAGGTAGCACAGAGAAAAAAAAATATCGCCTAAAAATGAAGCACCGTGACAATACTGTTTCACACTTTTGGGAAAAAGGTTTTAAGGGTATTTTTTATATATCATTTTTATTTAATAATTTTTTAGATGACTGAATTCAAAAAAATTTCCACATAAATTGAAAAATAATTTTCAAAATCTGTGAAATCTGGAAAATCATTTAGAAATCCTCGTGAAATCTTGCATGAAATCTGTGAAATCATCATTTGCCCCTGGGCTTGGTAATATGTTTGTTGTTAATTAAATCTCAAAAAGAGTAGGGGAGGGTGGGGCAAGACAGTCCACTAAAGCTTTTTATTATTATTTTATAAGTATTCAATAAATAAAAAAAACTTATTTTTCTATCGATTGATTTAAAAATTTGTTATTGGTATTTATATTATAAACTAACCAAAACTAACCAGAATTTATAATTATTAGAAGAAAAAACATTAATAACAAAGGTTTTAAAGGTAAATTCTAAATAATCTTTTATAATTGTCAACCATTTTTACAATAATTTAAAATATTTTATCATTATATTGAGCTTGGTCTAGGCACTTAAAAAAGTTCTCAACAGTAAATGAACAACAAAACTGTAAATACATTATCCAGTTTCTTCGCATGCGCGTCTCAAAACCTCGAATAAGAAATCCAATGGCAATAGGTCTGATTCCAACCCATAGTATTGGAGAAATAACAAATTAAAAATCAAATACAAAATATAAAAGGGAGATACAAAGGTAAAATTTAACGATATTATGCGATTAATCCGATTATAATAAATGCTGATTAGGTTGAAAAACTGAACTTCTGTCAATACTTAGGAAACAGAAGGTGTAATTAGAAGTATATACAATACGGCAATTCACGGGCGCTCAATTAAAAGTAACCCTGGTATTTTAGTCGAGTCAACTTGCAAAACGTATTTTTGACTCATTTTTCATTTTCATTTTCGTATTGGTAAATTAAAAATTACTGTTACCTCTTCATTATTTCTGGTCTGGCGGAGCGAAAGACCAAAACACAAGACAATAAAATCTCCGCAAGAAACGACTCCGATTTTTTTTTTCTCGCGGACGTCCAAAAACCCGAGAATAAACCCGACTCGAGCAACTTATAAAGTTAGCCATTACTTCTTTCACGTCGCTGCGGAACGAAACTTACAATGAGACTCTCGAAAATCTGCTGTTTCACCATTAAATTATAATTGTATCTGATCCTCGCTTCGTCAGTTTGCGATCCTCTGCTGCACTTCAGAGGGGCCGACGATACGGGATTCTCCTCGTCAAACGTCTGCTTTAAAATGTCTTCGATGATATCACAACAAACTCTCGAGATGTATTCCTTGGTGCGGTACTTAACTTCAATCAGATGCGGACGCGTTTGCACAGACCCTTTGCTCATGTTATACGTATTCAACTCACACCGCAAATTTTGACAACCGCTTGATGACATACGCGCACAACAAATTGACTAGGACGTAATTATTGTTGGAATTTAAAGTTATTCCTGTAGGGATCCTTGCACACACTTGAAAAGCTGCCAATAATATTTTATTAATTTTCCAACGCTGCCAAACACAATTCTAACCTTCATATAGGAGAAGTTAAGAATCCACTAGAATAGAAAAGCTAAGGAAGGCTTTAGCATTTCATGTGTCAGAGATTTATCAAAGCTTGTCTATTTGACTGATCTTGAACATTGAAAGTTCACTTGTAGTAAGTAAATCAGGAATGAGAAGTACTGCATTATCAGCAAATGTGAGATAGGTAATACCGACTTGCGAAAGCTTATATTTATACACATCTTTTTTGGGACTGAATCGTAGACCTTAAAAATCCGGTCGATACGACAGTTGGCAGCTTCAACTGTGAATATGGGAACATTACCAATGAAACGCGGGTAGTGGCAGACTTCCTCAGGGTAACGAAGAATGTGAATCCAATATACACCTCTTATTTTCTGTCAAATAGAAATATTGATTGCAGCTCCAAAGTAAGGAAGGAGCTGCATGGGGGTTATTTATTATTTTTTAACTGTCTGCTGTTGCAATGCAATGGAAAGACAACATTGTGCTGTTGGCATTTGGCTCCATATGAGCTTCTTTTTATAGCCTGTGCTCGTGTGATGGGTATGATGATACCCTAAAGTCCAATGATGTGTTTCTTTTTACAATCTGTGGTCTTCTGACGGGTACGACGATGCCCTACAGACCATAGTGAGCCTACTGACAATTTCTCGAAGTGGTGCTCTGGCATGTTGTAAATTCACTTGTACTGGATAATGGAGTTTTTATGTCACGCAATATATTTCTGAAATAATTATTTCCTCGAATCGTTCGCCTACCCAGAGATCTATAAACAATATTTCCTTAACCTGTACAAAATGTCAATGTTTGTTGCTAAAATCATTGTTTAACTGTTTTGTCTCAAAAGCAATTCTCATTCCCAATTAACCTTTTTTCAAGATAAATTCTTATATACCCTAAAAGAAAATACATCTGAAAGTACAACGAATCGGGTGTTCTAAACATTATTTCATGTAACAAGAGAAATCTGCGACCAAAAACTAACCGACAAAGCCAAAGGAAGAATGGAATTTCCATTGGTAAGCATCTGCGAGCGCTGGAAACGACATTACAGTGAGGCACTCGGTTTTCTCCTAATTAATTCCGGCAAACATTACAAGCGTTTCGCAAACAAAAAATAGATTCCGTGTCTAATGCTCCAACAATTTATACAACGCATTCGGTCAAAATGGGAGCGTTAGACATATATACGAGTCTTATCACTTCAATTACCGCCTTATTATCGCGACATTTTCGCACGAATCTTCCTCCGCGAATGTTTCCAAATAATATACGACATTACCGAAACAGGTGGTCCCGGCATATTAGCTACCAGCTGTTGTTTCCTCACCCTGGCTATAATCGCGCCACACCGGGTCGCAGTCGGGTATGTATTCACTATCTAGCTCGACAGTAAAACATCATAAAAACAGACAAGACTAGATAAGCGTCACAGATACATAGAGTAAGGAATCATAAATTGGACCGCTTTACAATTATTCCTTTCCTTGAAAATATAAACGTATAACGATCAGGAAACGGAACCAAATGACAAATAACATTGAAAATATGAAATAACTAAAGCAAAATTGAAGGAATAACTCTTGATTATTACGAATCATTTTTATACGCAAAATTTCTTAACTGTACAAGTTCTTGATGCCTATCTTTCAGAATCTACTCCTATCATCATTGCCATCGAGAATTTTTCTAAAGATATAAGATCTGTAGATTCGCTAAACCAGCAAGCTGCATTTTATAGACGATCGTAAGATTTTAAGCGCCAAGTACGGACGGAAGCTTCTTTTATTAAAGCTGTTAGGTTAAACGTACTTAATAATATTTCGTTAGTTCTTAGATATTCTTGAATATACTAAATGAACAACTCGAATATTTTTAAACAGAACGTAAACTTAGAACAAGAAGAAATTGACGGGATCAAAGCAAATGCCATCACTTAAATTTAGATGTACATGTTTGCACCACTTAAATGCTCGTCTCGTTAAAACCGAACCTAAAACGTATACTAGGGAATCAGCGGCGTGGAGTGTTAGGGGGATGCCACACCCTTGTTCGTGATTTATGGCCAAATATTTAATTTGGTATTGTTTTCTTACCAACGTATTAAAAGTTGTAATTATAATACTACTACTACTTTTATCTGTAAACAAATTGATTTTTTTAAGAAAAACTTCAGACTCACAACCTAAATAAACAATAGACAAGGCATTGTTTCTATAAGTACTGGAATGACGTAGTGCCTTCGAAATTACCAATGCAATCGACATTCGTGTAGTGTAAAAAGGAATTTTGTAATTAAATTATAAAGATAGGAACTTTGAGAAACAGAATTAGGTTTCGATGCCCTTTAAAAGAAAGAAATATGTGTATAAAAAAATACGAATTGTTATGCAGATAAAAGTGGAGATTCTATATATAAATGTCACATAAAACATTACAAAAAAATCACAAACAGTAATACGAATTCTATTTGACAGCAATAAAAACCCATTACATTATGGTTCCGACACAAAAGAGTTTTATTTATTTAATAAAAAATGTTGCAAATTGAAGCAAATTTTTAAAAAAATGATTAAAAAGTTTATTATAAAATTACCGTAATGAAAATCCGTGTAAAAAAATATCTTTAATAATAAAAATTTTACGAATTTGTACACCTATAAGTTTAAGAAATTTTTAATAATGTTTTCGCTGTTGACTTATAATTTGTTCTGCCTCCATGTCGTCCTCATTGTTCTGAAGATGGACATTCAAATGCTGGAAACGTGTTTGTGAATCTAATTTTGCATCAAATTCACGTGAATGTTGTTTAGGTAAGAAAACACCGCTGATATTTTTAACCGGTCGTCGATAAATAAAAAAAGTAACCTACATCATTAATTGATAAGAAGTGTGACATCGTTGATTTTTCCATGCGGGGCCAATAATTCGGCCGACCACAACGGAAACCTGCGACACGATATACCTGTCCATGCTAATGGGACTTATAAATAAAAACCGGTTAATTTCCCTTTCCACCCTAAATACGACCCTGGTTTCGGAGTCGAGGGGCGCACTTTCTCTATGCCTTTCCGTTTGCGTGGGGTAAGGGTATGACAGCAGAGGGGTAGGTCGATGATGGAATTTACTATACGAACGGAACGAGGGCCTAGAGCAGCGTTTTGTGAGAAACCGAGCCTGCCAGTTTACGTTTCCCCAATATTATTCTCGGAGAATGGTCGCTCTCTGTTGGATGTCTCGTGCATTTTATTATCAAACTAATACCGTAATGGAGTTGCTGTTTCGTATCTGTCGTGTGTACGTTATTAAAATTGCAAAAGGTTTAAACTTTAAATCGCTTTTGCCTTCGCATCGTTCGTCGCCAATCAATATTACCGCGACATTACGTTACCATCAGACTTCCTTTCAAAATTGGCCAACAAACGTCATTCTACCGCTTTTTAGCAACAAAATAAAACTAAACCATGGTAAAAGAGTGATTTTTGCAACCTTGTCGACTTTATTTGTTGAATATTATATTCACTAGGAGATGAAATTTAATACTAGTTACATAATCTACAGTTGTTCTTAATCACCTTTTTAAAAAATTGATCCTGGGAATAGTTTGTGCATTAAAAATTGCCCTTTCCTGCAAAAATTGACATTTAAAAAAAAATGTATTCGAAACTGATTATTATTATTAAATGTTATTACTTTATTAGTTTTCTACAAATGTGCCGATTTTCAAAAAAATCGGAAAAAATGACTTTTTCAACATAACTCTTATAAACTAATTATTTTATTTCAAAGAAAATCTTCAAAGGCACATATCGAAATCATTAAAACAAATTTGTCTTGATATTTTAAAACCAAATAAAGTTCAGTCTCAGATTTAAAATTTTTTATACTTTCACTTTGTATTTTAAATGAATTTAAAGAAAGTTTTCTCGGAAATGATGTCGGAAAAATGTGAAAAAATCAAGTAAATTCGTTTTTTATTTGAATCACGGCTCATAAGTAGAAAACTAACTTTTTCCAATTTCTCGTAATTTTTGAAAATAATGTATACATATTTTTGTAACTTTCGCGAATTCATTTATTTATTTTGGATAAAAATTTGCCAGAACTCATTAAAAAAATGTTCCCATATGATGCGGATTTTAGTTGGGACCCTGTGTGGAGACAACAATAAAAATTATTGTAAATCAATCGTACAACATTATGCATTATGCAACATTATGCATTATGAATGAATCGGATGTTTTCGTATCTGGTGTGGTAAAGAAAATCACGACCAAACATTAAACCGGAGATGTTATTTTTCCGCTCTTCATGTTTTTATTATTATTATTTTTTGTCTCCTAGTAAGGAGGGAATAGCTGGAGAATAATCGCAAAGAACCACGGATAGTGATATCAGTCAATTCTTCAAACTAAAAAATATTTAAAGAAGAATCTTTATTCATTTAATAAAAATTAAATTTAAGAAAATTTATCAAGAAATTGCCAAATTGGAGTCACTAAAAATTAATGGGGAATCGCTCTTAGTCGAAGTACTGAACCCGCTTATTCAGTTTTTTTTTAATACTTTTTATACTAAAAATATAAGGCAACAAATTATTTTTGGGGTTTCGAATTTAAGTGATTAGGACAGTTTGTTTAAACTAATACTAAAACAATTTTTTTTTACTCCCTTCTGTAAAATACCTAATAATACCGATCCGAGCCACTTCGGTCATTTCCGGTATATCACCGTACAAATTTTATTCGTGTTATGCAAAAATGTACCCAGAACCTAACACGTTTGGTAAATTTTGTAAATCACTCGCTTATTAAACACTCGCTCCGCTCGTCCCAAATGAACTCG